CGAGTATTTAACGTTAATATCGTTAAAAAATTACTCATTAAGAACATATATTTTATTGACTTCAGTTATCAGTTTGTTAGCAATGTTAGTTAAACGCATATGAGCAAAATTAAAAACATTTAATGGAAAACGACATTTTTGCTAAATATGTTAAAACTCAATAATTCTACCACTAAGTCTGAATGTTTGATATTAAAATTCAACGTAAAATAATAAGTTGCTAAACGAAAACGTTTAAATCTGATCAGAAAAGAAGAAAAAAAAAATCATTCTACAAACAGAAAAAGACTGCCCCAGACATTTCAAACTAAGAAAAAATTCGAAAATGCAAGCCTGCGGATATCTCTTAGAAAAAATAGCGTGATTGCTTTTTTCGACAAATGATATAAACAGCAAAAACTGCGAATTTATACTGGAAAACGAGGATATAAATATTTTCATGCTTCTGATAACATATCGAAAATCAAATAAATCTAAGCTTATTAAAATCCAAGCTTATATTGAACGGAATATCAGAAATTCCTTCATTAATATAACTAAAACAACGAAAATTTCGCCGTATAAATGAAACTTAAATTAAACCATTAATGATGCTCAGAAGTTTTATTATCAAATATGGACTAGATCATTTTAATAAGTTTTGTAATTGAGTATGTCATGACTTATTTTTACTAATGTCAATCTTACTTCTAATATAAACAAAAAACAAAAAAAAAGGAGTAGTAGCTCAGCTGAGAAAATGCAAACGAGAAAAAGAAAACGACATGAAAGAAATTAGTTGTTAATTTCTCGTCTTATTAAATACCACAGTTAAAGATCGAAATCTTTAACTGCCAACTGCGATAAAAATCTGTTTAGTCACGTCAATCATGAAATAGCGGAATGACAGAAGAGAAATAAAGAACTTGCGAATAAAAAATTGCAGACATAGCGAAATAAGACTTAAAAAATCAGCAGTAAAAGAATAAACAGCTTTTAAAATATGTTTCATAGTTAGCCAATTAATATGCATGAAATTCAAGTTATGCTTCATTTAAAAGAGACTGTATAAGATGATTAGTCAATAAATAATTTTCAGTACTGCTTAAGTATCAAATTAGAATAATAATTTAAAACAGGTAAAAATAAATTTAGTAGTTACATAACCATGAACACAACGTTAAGTTAGTAGTACTTGAACTGCAAAATGTAACTTTACTAATACTTTAATTTTTTACAATATCAACTAAAATAAAATTACAGTCACGACTGTAGCTAAAAATTTAAATTTTGAAAATTTCCTAAAACAGGTGAAAATTAATTTTAATTAAAAGTGCAGCTTTTAAATATTAAAAATTTATAAAGCATTTTGAGAAATAAAAAAGAACAAAGTTTAAGGCGATTAAAACAGTTTAAAACTGAATTATATATATCAAAATCTCGGAAAACGAAATTCAAAACTTATGTTTAATCAAATACACAAAGCGTACAATAATTAATTTTTAAAACGAATTATTCATAATAATTTGAAGAAAAAAAATTAAATTGTTCTTTCTGATTTTGCCAAGTTTTCCTAATGCCAATTAAAAGTTAACACTAAGTTAATTGAAGCCACATGTAGTTTTATTTTTAGAGCCTTCTATTTGGGAATAAAATTTTCTACCTATAAAGAACAGCGGCAGTGTGCTTTTTCTCTGCAAACGATAATTCACATCGGTCACCGCCCTTGTATCACAGTGGCAAACAAATTCTTTATTTACAACTGGTGGTTTATTTTGAAAAGAAAAATAACACGCAAAGTTATTCAGAGTCATGTTCAGTATAAGCTGAATATGTAAACATGTTTAGTGTTTACTTTTGTGATGTGTCACGAATTATTCCAATGAATTGATCGATGTCATGTATTTACAAAGCGAATTAGAAGATAACGAATATTTGCGAGTTGTAAAGAAATTGTAACTGGAAAAAATAAGTTTCTGATATAGCACGTTTTATTTATCTCTCTAATTAACTAAATACAGATTAATGAACTAATTACAGATATAAAAATCTGATGTTTAGGAAAAGCTTATCGTAAAAATGGTTTACAGTAAGCAAATTCTACGGTTTGTTTTGATTATTTCGTTAAAAAAACTAAAAGAAGATTAGAAAATAATGAATGTTCACGAATTGCACACGAATTCTGACGAAAAAATAGGTTTTTGATACAGCGCGTTTTGTTTATCTCGTCAATTAATTAACTAAATCAAAGACTTCAACTACTACGGATTCTCCGTAGTTTCAGAAAATATTTTTTCTATCGGCAAGCAAGGGATATAAATATATATTTTAATAAATTAGAATTCGAAAGAATTTGTCCACCACTAAACAAAAGTAATTTAAACAGACTTACGCTCGTAAGATCTAGTAGGTTTTTTATAAAATCTGTTTCAAAAAATTTTACTTTGTAAATATAAACTAATTCTTTTCTTGAAAATGTTATTTGCTTTGTTTACTTCGATAATAAATTATTCGCCAATATCTGAAAAACTGATATAAGAGACGCCAGAACAACGTAAATTAGGACGAACATTTTAAATGTGCAATTCTATAATAATTTTTAAAAGTTCAGAACGCATTGTTTCACTGTTAAATAAACACGCACTTTAAAAAAAAACTATGTAAATAAAATAAATTAGAATTTAACATCATTAAAGTTAAATAATAGCCAGCGAATGCATGAGGATTGCGAAAAATTACCTAAAATCACGACCAAAAAAGCTCACGGAATTAAATTTTAACTGTGGGGTTGTACCATTGTTAAATAAATACAGATTTTTAAAACAAATTGTACAATAAATTTTAGAATTTTAGCAAAATAATGTAGATTGCGAACAAAGAAATAAATTTTGTTAAGAAATTCCAAAAAAAGTACAGAATTCGAAATTTTCTGATAAGAGTAGATGACAAATATTTGTAAAAAAAAAAAAAGTTGTTTATTAAATCTAATTTCTTCATCCCGTTAACTGAATGTGAAAAAAAAGTTTATAAATTTAAAAAAAAAATCAATATCTTTAATTTTAGAAACAATTATTACACAAAAAAAAAAATTCACCTTTTTCTTAAATCCAGATATTACCATAACACAAATACCTCTTAAAATTACAAACATTTAATTTTATCATTCATCTATATTTTATTACAAACTTAAAACTATTTCTCATAGCTAACGATAATTTGTTTGAAAAATGCAAATAACAAAATAAATCTCTTAAGCAATAATTTTGATTCTTTAAGAAGATTAAAATCATTCTATTTTAATAAAATTGAATAAAAAATTAACTATAATTGAATGAAAATTTAAACTAAATGATTTTACAACAGAACTAACTTTAACTAAAAATTTTTTAGTAAAAACTTTAAAAATAACAATAGAAAGAAAAATTATAATAAAATTCCGAATTATAGCTTAATTTATATAACATTTTAAGAATAAGGTACTGAAAGCTAGCGTTTTATTTTAGAATTTTAAACAAAGAACAAAAGAAAACAATACATAAAATTGAAATTGTACTAAGTATTTCGGAGAAGCGCGAATCTAATTTGAAATATGATTTGAGAGGTGGATAGTGTACTAAAAGTACAGAAATCTGAGTGAAATATTTGACGTTTGTTAAATTTTCTCACAGCTTTCGTAGAATAAGAATATTGCATTTTAGCAACAAACTGTCAGTTCTCGCTAACTTGACAAAAATCGATTCGATATATAGGGAAACGCATTTCCGGCAAAATCGATCAGCAACCTCAATTTATAACCGTAAAATGCATCGGATTTACGACCGTTGGGAAAAGTGATGCAATTTCAAAATGAAAATAAAAAATTGCTTTACGATATCAAAACACTTGACAGGATTCGCAGACGATTTTTTAGATCTGAATTTTTATTTATTGTATTCTACAATGTTTGAAAATGTAATTAGATAAATAAAAAAAACATAACGTAGTCTGATGAATTATTTTAAGTTGTAAAAATATAATCAAAGAGGTGAAATTTATCTAAATTATTTTTTGATTAGTTTTAGATTCCTTTGATAGTTCTGGATTTTATGGATCTGTATTTTTCAAATTTCGCAAACGATTTTCTTCAAAAGTGTATAAAAAAAAAATACTTTTTGCTTTTTCTCAAAAAACTTTAGAAATATAAGAAAAAAGTAAATACAAAAATTGTATTAGAAATAAACTCTAAAAAAAAGACCTTATCTTTCATTAAAAAGCAAATAAAAAAATGACCACTGCTTATTTAACTATAATTAATTTCAAAATGCAAACAATTGTTTTTCTTGCTCGATTTTCAATTTCTGGAATAAATCACATTTGTTTGTTTACTCATGAAAATAAATGTTTCATTAATGTTTACTAAAGTTGTTGAAATTAAATATTTAAGATTATTTAAATTTTTTAGCAACTAAAAATATATCCTGCAACTAATAAAATAACTTTAAAAAATTATACAGTTAGAGATTAAAAAAAAATTTTCAAAGGAAAATAAATATTTAATCCCAAATTACATTAAATTGCTCAGGAGCTGATGAATTTCACAATTTTGTATTGTTTACTTTATACATCTCAGTTCTAAATATATATTTTAGACTCTATATACACTTATAAAACCATATGCATAGTTAGAAATTCATACATTTTTGCAAATTTTAACAATAGGTATACTTAAAATTTGGAAAGATAATAAAATTCAGATTCCAGTCAAAAGAAAATTATTTTTGATGTACCTAAATTTAAGACATTAGACATTCTGATATTATTAAACTATATACACATGAAAATTATAAACTGATTATATGATATGTTAAATTTATTTTCTTAATTTTTAAAAACATTTGTCAATAATCTAGATGCGCTTTTTAATTTTACTGTATTTAAATTTTGTGAATTATTGCAGAAATTTTAAAAATTAATATTTTGTTAATTGAAATCGAAGTTACTTATTTCCCGAATTAAAACTTTGCACTTTTTACAAATTTTAATGATATTAAAAATAAAATAAACTCTTAAAAATTTTGTTTAAGTCATAAATATTACCATAGCTTTACTTATAACTTAAGATATTTATATAATTTATATATTTATATCAAGGCACTTTAAAGAATAAGAAATATATAGAAATAGCAATACAGCTTGGGGACATAATTCAACAAATATAGTCATTTAATAAGAAATCTATGGTAATATCATAGCAAATATTAAATTCTTGAATATTATAAAGTTAGGGAATGAAATTTTGTATTAAAATCACTTCAAATTCAGAAAATTTTTGCCTAATTTGAATTGGATAGATACAACAATAACTACAACAAAATAAGTGACAAAAATAGAAATATAAATAAAGAGCTAGAACTAACCGTTCCCATAAAGTGTGCACGTTACCGTCATGAAAAAAAAAAATTGTTCATTCAAATAATAAAAATTTACAAGTTTCATAGAATTATTCTAATTTCATATATGTACAGCTACACTTACGTCATTCCTGTTCCTTTCTGTTTTCCTATGCCTTACATCCGGCATTGCGTATTTTAATCGGTCCCAGAATTGTTTTTCACCCCACCTCACTACCGGACATTGCCTCAACCATAGCCGGATGTCGGGATCCAGTTCTTGTGGGTCCACTTTACCCAGTTCTATCACAAGAAGTCGGTGCTGGCAGGCACTCAGCACCTCACGGTGTGCCGATTTGAACTCAAATCGGCACCACTCACTTTTTAGGAAGTTTTCGGAAAGAATGAGAATTGTTCGTCGGCTGCTTTCCATAGCCTCCATAATAGCCTCGGACATTATATATCCACTAACGGGAAGGTCCCGGTAATGAAGGCACAGACGATAATTAGGCATACCACACTCAAGCTCGGGAGCAAGGATTTGGGTGACGAATGCTTCGTCTTTTTTGCTGTATGAGACAAAGGCGTCGAACAATTTGTCCTCGTCGCCTCCACCCCTCTGAGATGTACGACCTTTTCCGGCTTGAAAAAGTCGTACGCCATACTTGGCGTAGAACCAGACTCCCATCTCCTTGCGGAACACAAATATTAAGATCACTATGAAAATAACCACAAATATGACAGAAGATACCACGATAAACACAGGCAGCATTTCTTTGAAATCGAATTCAGCACGAATCGGCAAGGACGTGAAGTTGCTGCACGCGGTGGTGTTGAAATCGAGCATGTAATGACTGCTACTGTGGTTGTAGTGGCATTCTAAATCGTACATGTCCCGCACAAAATCGCCTTTGAGATTGAGGAACTCTTTCAACTCGCCAACGAAGAAGCAATCGCAAGTCCAGGAATTATGCGCTAACTTTATCTCCTGCAGGCGTGGATTTGCATTCAAAAGCCACACTTGAAAATGCACTATGTAGTTGTGGTCCAGGTGTAAGATTTCGATGGACTTTAAAGCAGCAAATGTCACATTGCTGATAGTCGCTATCATATTATGAGAGAGATAAAGCTCCTGTAGATGTGACAATCTTTCAAATTCATATCCATGGAGAGTGGTAAGTCGATTATAAGCCAAATTCAAAACTAGAAGATCTCTTAATCCGTTAAATGTTCTATTATCGATGGTGTGCACGTTACTATTGTTCAAATACAAAATTTTCATATTTTTCCTACCAATAAAAGTATGACTGGATAATGTCGATATGTCACTACCATCTAGGTATAACTCTGTGACATCCATGGGTATTTTGCGTGGCACTGAAGTTAAACGTCTGCTACCACAATCGACAATGTTCGTATTCCAGCTTTGATCGTAATAGCAAGTGCAATTTTCTGGGCATACCATCTCACAATCGCACGCATCAAATTCGCAGCAATGGCACAAAGCAAAACAATGGCTTTTGTAACTGCACAAAAATTGCGAACTTTGAGCACGAGTAAGAGGTACTACTGACTTCCTTCGTTTGAATGTTAGACTACACTGTATTTCCTCGATATCAGTCATTCGGGGATATTGCCTGGACTCATCTAAAGTAGCCATTCTTTGCAACCATTCCATATTACAGTCACAAATATAAGGATTGTCAGATACAGTAAATTCCGGTAAAGGTCTGCGATTTGGAACTTCACTTAAACGAAAAGCATTCATTTCCAAAGTTTCTAAATAGTTGCTTTTCAATTCGACTCTGGTTAAATTTTGTTTGCCAAGAAAAGTAAAAGGTTGAATGGTTTTGATGAAGTTGTTATTCAGAAAAAGAATTTCTATACTATTCGGCAGAGAAGTAGCTTCAATTTCAGTGATTTTATTAAAAGATGCATCTAATGTTCGAAGTTTTAGTAGAGATTCTAATTCGTAATAATTTCCTAAAGTTTCTATTTGATTTGCGTGCACATCTAGCCATTGCAATCCTATTGGGATCAATGCATAATCAAACCATGATATTCTATTTGCAGAAATGTTCAGCATTAGCAAATCGTGCAGATTGATAAATAAAGAATTTATATCTGAAATCATATTTGAATCTAAATTTAACGCGTGCAGCTCTGGAACTTCGTCAAAAGTGCCTTGTTCAATAGATTGAACATTATTGTTGGCTAAATTTAAAATTCTAATAGAAGGTAAATCTTCAAATACACCTTTAGTTAAGTTTCCGATAGAATTTCCGGCAAGTCGTAAACTATACAAATGTCTCAAACCTTGGTAAGACGCATTGCTTATCACAGATATTCTATTGTTGCTTATATCGAGAGCACGGAGTTGTTGCAAGAACTTCAAAGTTTTTGGCACTTCTATCAATTTATTAACATTTAGATTAAGTTCATGAAGATTGGAACAATTTTTAAGAGCTTCACTATGAATCGCTTGTATGCTGTTGAAATCAAGCGACAACATCGATAGCATTTGAAGCCCTGTAAATGTGAAGGCGTCTATATAAGTGAGGTTGTTATGGGTCAACACCAAAGTTTGAAGATTGTAAAGGGACGAAAAAGCATGATCTGCTATGCTAACTAATTCGTTGTGGTGCAACTGTAACACTTGCAAACTATATTGAGATCTAAATGTTGCAGATTCAAGGTGCGATAATTTGTTGTAGCTTAGATCCAAAACCACCAAACGAGTCATGTCTGCAAAAATATCAGCATTCAGCCACTGGCTAGTCAGCAAATTATGGCTCAAATCAAGCACCAACATTTGCTGAAGACCAGAGAACAGCCCAGGAGGAAGAACACTCATGGAATTGTTTTGGAGATAAAGTTCGGAAAGCAGCTCAGAGTTTTTAAAGAATCCAGGAGGAAGAGCGACCAAGAGATTGTTAGAGATATCTAAAATTTGAAGCTTACCTAGGCCAGATAAAGCTGTCTCTTCTGCTCTGGATATCCTATTAGCTTGTAGGTGCAGCGTCCGTAAGTGCCTAAGAGCTGTAAATCCATAATCACTAAGCACTTTCAGACGATTATTGGATAAATCCAAGTTTTGCACAAACACTGGACAAGGTGTACGATTGGTAGCCGCGAATCCTAGATTCACGACTTCACTGAAATCGTTAAAGGACAGATTCAGATGTTGAAGATTCGGTAAAGAGCACAATAGCGAAGGAGTCATCGTAGGCATGTTATTCCGGCTCAGATCTAATCTCGTCAACTTCTGCAGGGACGATAAACTTCCAGGAATGATTTTTAGAAAAATCTCACCCCATTCACTGTTGTAAGTCCTCACAGTCAAATTCGTCAGTTCATTCAGACCCCAGAAAGCTTTCAAGGGGATTTCCTTTAACTTGCAGAATTCTATATGAAGCGACCGTAATTCCTTCAGATGGTGAAAAGAATTGTTCGCAAGAGCACTTTCGAAAAGAACGTTTTCACATTTTACTTTTAGACTAACTGTATTTTGAGGCTGAATAAGACTAAAGTTCGTACTATCGAAAGCACCATTGATGGTTCGAACTACGCAAGTGAGCGAAACCGACGCGGAGCCGAAGCTTCCCGCGGCAGTCCATTCACAGTCCTCCGGAGCCACGTAGCCGTGATTCGCCGTCGAAGAACACCATACAACGGAGATCGCAAACGATAAACACCACAAACGCAGCATGACTAACATTGGAAAATATTCCAAAAAATACTTCTTCCGAACATCAAGAAGCATAAATTGAAATTAGCAAAGTCATTTGCAAAGAATAATTCAAATAAATAAAAGTTCTTAAATTATCATTTGTATTTTTAAAATATTCTAAATTCGACGAGCTCGTAAAATTTTGAAGTAAAAATAACTTTTCTAATAAATTAATATCACATAAAACAGACGAAGAAATAATTCCATTCGTTCTAGCGAGGAACTATAAACCACGCTTAAAGTACATCATAGTTTTACAGTTCTTAAATTGCGATAAATAAATATATCGCAAATATATTCGAGTTAAAACGTCGCATTATAATCCAAAAAGATGTTCGCAATCACATATCTAACAGCCATGGGAACTTCTAATTCGAACATTTTTTTTCACAGCTCTTACGTGTTGGGCTTCCAGTTAGAAAATGAACAACAGCACGGTGCTTCAAAAGACAGAAACCAGTTCTCCGTTCGAACGCTGCGAATTTTTCAACACATGTGAAAACAGTCCTCATTTTGGAAGTCAAACATCAAACTATATCCATCTGACATAACTCGAACAGAATTCCTTTCGTTCGATTAAAATTAAGACGATTAATTGGGACGAGTAAATTCAGCATAAAACTCTTCTCAGCAATCGTTTGCAAAAAAAAAGTTGCTAATCCAGCAGGTCAAAATATTCCAAAACTGTTCGCCTGTGAATGAATATAAACACTCGCCGTCGACGCCAGGTTGAAACGAGTTTTGTGTCGGAACATTCAGGGAGGAGCAGTAAAAGATCGAGCGTCCTCCTTCTATGAAAGTGACTCACCTTTTGAGAGAGATGGGAGAAAATTTTATGGGGGTAACCAATTCCTAGTGAGATCCCTAGATGGCGCAACTATCTCGTAAAGCCGTTTCCATTTTATGCGCTAGGGTGAATGTCTGGAGTCGAATGACATGTAGGTAAAGTCGGTATTTTACTGTTGTTTGCGTCTCTGGTTTGAACATATCGCGATTCGGCTGCGTTAACCCTTTCCGCTAGAGATATGTCTTTAGTAAAACTTAGTAAGGGGTGATAAATATTTTTTTAATTTCAAATAGAATTGTAAGCGGATGAACTCAGAAAAATATTTTATCAAAAAGAATAAGCATAGATTATATATTAAATTTAACGAATTTATTTTTATTTTGTATTCATAGCTTTAATTTTATTAATCAATTTGAAAGATTATAATTAAAGTTCCAGTTCGGTATATTATTATTTTAACTATTAAACAGTGAAAATAATAATAAATCTAAAATATTTGTTTTTAGATTTATTATTTTTAAGAGATCTGTATTTTTTTAAGATTCAATAAACACGAAAAAATATTTTTGTTTACTTTTTAGACTACTTATACCAATGGTTTAGAACTTAATATCTGTCTTACATAGCGTAGAATAAATCTAGTGGGGAAAAAATAAAACTTACCTAATCTTTATTCAGATAGAAACAGCCTTAAACAAAACTGACCAATTTATTTTACCACTTTAGCATTTTAAATTTTTTTCTTTGTGTATGCAATAAATAAATTAAAAAAATAATAAATAAATAAAAGAAAAGTGGAGGGTTTATTGTTTGCGATATTCTGGGAGAATGTGTAACTCAAAATATTAAATACCTCAAAATAAAATACCTAAAAAAAAACAACAAAAAAAAATCTGACCAATTAATTTTACCACTGTAAATTTTTTTCTCCATGTACAATTTTTTTTTTTTATTTCGTATTCCAAAGGTTTTGTTATTATGAACAAATAATCTATATAATGTATTGATGTGCCCCATGAACCTTTCTGCCATGAACCATAAAAGCCTTGCTAGAAAACAATTAAAAACTACAGTCTCTTTTTTGTCGTTAAAAAAAATGAATAAAAGAAAAGAGGTGGGTTTATTGTTTGCGATATTCAGGGAGAATGCGTAACTTAAAGTATTAAATACCTCAATATAAAATTTAAAAAAATATATTTAATTTGTGATTTGCTATGATAACATATTAAAATTTAGGTAGCAGCTAAAACAAAAATAAACTGCACGCTTTTTCCCTATATTTACAAAATTTTCTAAAAAATTTCGCAATTAAAATATTAAAAATTTTATAAAGGTGATTGAATTGTTAAAGAAAAGCGTCATATCTTAATTATTTCATTTTAAAACTGATCTACTAAGCTCTAACTAGTCAAAGGTTGGAAATGACAAAAAATTTTCTATTATCGGAGCTGGAAACAACAGGCTACGAAATAGTTCTAGCGTCAATACAAAATGGCTTTATGATTTTGCATTTTTAGTGTTACATATGCATTTTTACTATATTAACAGTAATAATTTATAGATATATAAGAATTCTTATTTTAACGAAACGTATAACAAAAGTAAATATACTGTTAAACGTAACGATTATTAGATAGAATTATAACAATTAAATTTATTACTGTTCGTATATTATAAGTAATATATTACAAAATAATACACATTAAGTAATATATTACAAAATAATACACATTTCCGTTATTAGTATGCAATACCACAGTCTAAATTTATTCTAATAGTTTGTTCTTAGTTTAATTTTATGATGTTTAAAATTATTTTTAAAAAAGAACGTTATATTTGCTAATAAACGATTTTATTAAAAATATTGAATTTTAAAATTTCATTCCATTTTTTTAAAATTTTATTTTTGATATCTAATATTCTTGAAAATAGCCTTTAAAGAAATAGGGGGGGGGGTACTGAGTTATGCTTGAAATATAGTGACCAGTATCCGCTGAAAACTGAAAGCAAAATTTCAAAAAGAACATTCGAAAACCCACATCTATATCTTTCCAAATTTATATCTGTTCTAAAATCTCTGCGAGGGATTTCTGTTCTCAGAATATTAAATTGAAAAATAAAAGCAGTCAGTTTTCGAATATCCATTCAGAAAATTTAGTACCAGTTTTTCAGTTTTCTAAGAATCCTGATCAGCTTAACTTTTGGCTATTGAAAAATATAAATTCCATAAATCAATAAATTCTTTATTCGAAATGCATAATGTCGAATAACATTTATCAAACGATTTTATTTTTCTTCAAAAAACTGCCTGTTTTATTAGAAGGAAAAAACTCTAAACGTTGAAAATAGGAAGAAAGAAAAAAAAGTTACTGGAGATTCATTTCGTAGGGGTGACCAGAAACTGTGATATAAGTGCCCGATTGAATAGAGATAAAGAGAAAGAAAAAATAGGATGGAATAGAATTGTTCGTTCATTCTGAACACTGCGAAACCAAAGCTCTTGATCGGACGCTGTCAAAAGGCTTGGAGAACGTGAGATGGTTTTTTCATGAATTCTAAAAAGTGGTTGCTGTACTATTTTAAAATTTGTCATGTTGGCTACGTTATCTTTTGTTTGGTGAAAATCCAAAAACCTTTATTAATATTTATTAAATTTAACATGTTAGAAATTAAGGCATTAAAAAATTTATTCTTATTTTTGAAGTTATTAAGTTATGTTTTAAGTTTATTTTTAAGTTATTCTTATTTTTTAAATCTTATTTCTTAAGTTATTCTTATTTTTTTAGTTTTAGTATTTGCTTAAATTAAAAACTGTCTCTCGGAATAAATTTTTTTCTCGAATGTACAAAAATAAATAAATAAAAAATCTAATCAAATTAGATTTTTTTTTTGTTGACTAAAGGCATTTTTATTGTCCAATATTTTAATGAAAATTTAGTTCAAATGCTGATTCCAGTTGATAAAAACTCCCATGTTTTAGATTAGTTATCGGGTAAAATATTTTAAAGATTTCGTGGTTTACCTCGTAATTAACATAAATTTGTTAGCTTTTCTCTTTTTAAAGTATTATTTTTGAGTGAAACGTAGCATATAGAGATAATTTTTGAGTTACAAAAAGTTTTTTCTCACTACTTTAATAGATTGTAAGTTGTGCCAACAGTGAAAATCAAATTTTCGATTCGATTCAATCTCTCTTCAACCAATTTCTCTTGTGGTATGATTTTCCTGAAACCCAATCATACTACAATCAAAATTTATCTATTTAATTTTAATATAAATTCGAAACGCTTAAATAAACAAAAATAACTATTTAGGCATCAAAAGTAAACCACATATAAAGCATGTTAAGTGAAAGAGATTTCTTTAAACATATGTTTTCATAATAAAATAATCTGACTAATAAATAAGTTACGACCAACTAATATGTTTGAAAATTATCATTACTATGTTTTAAAGTATGCTAACTATTAATTAAACTTACAAACATGCCAATTAAAAAAGACTTTCAGTGAATGTATTTTCTTAGGAATTAACTTTAACTTTGAAACACAAAAATTTATCCTAGAAATCAAGGGGGGGGGGAACATGATAAAACTTAATATAAATAATGTTTGTGGAAATCGGCAGGTTAGGTGTTTGCTGTTTTTTAACAATGGAAAAAAGTTCCCAAAGAAGTTCTCAAATAAGTGTTCCTAATCAAACGCCAGTTAAGATTCCATTCATAAATTCCAGGAATTCTACAATAAAATTAAAAAATAGCTATTCCCACGTTCAAATAAAGGCCCAAAAAGGGTGAAAACGCAGAATAAAAATGTTTGTCTGCTGAACAAAGAGCTTTAAACACTCGCATACAGTTGAACAAAGGCACATTTTACCAGCAGTCGACACCAACAGGTTGGAAGCTTCAAACAAACACTCTTTACGTGTCACGTGAAGAGATGCCATTAAAAGAAAGTGCTAAGCTATCATTTACTAGTAATCTTTTCACAGCACACCTGTTGCGCGGGGTGGAAACAACCAAAACTCGTTATTTCCAGGTGTCTGTGGTTTACCTTTCAAAAGAGTTAAAATTCTAGAAGTGCAAACGATTTTGTAAAACTATTCTAAATCGTCTCCTACAACACAACAAAGCTCTTTTTTCGAATATTTTAAGTCAGTGTGTGAAAAATATTTAGCGAAAAAAATAAAGTTCTTTTTTTTTATTTTCGGAAAGAAGGATTGTTCCGTGATTATTCACGGACCAATCCATTTAATTCTTGATGACTTCTGGGAGTGTTTTTACATTGTCCCATCTTCATGGACCACGCCCTATAAGAAGTTGGCGTCATAATGCTTGGCATAATTGGGAGAGTCTCCAAAAGTAATAATGCTGAATTGTGATTGTCACGGAAATTATGTTGGCGTTTTGGCGAACTTTTTTCCTTGATATTGTTATTACATTTAGTCTGGTTTTTCGTTAGCTATTAAGTGTAATTTTTTCAATCAAATTCTGCATTTATTTACGATAAGAAATAGTTTCATTTTTATTAACCCTTGCCAACTCGCGCAGTCACATAAATGAATTTGTTTTAAATTGATTTTTTGACCAAGAAATGTACATTTCAAAACTTCTTTTTTTCTTAAAAGCAAAATTATGATTTTTTTAGATTTAAATTATTTAATTTTCGAGTCACAAAAATTATTGAAAACATTCACTGTTCTAATACTCATGATGACATTGAAAAGTACTTATTAATCATGATAAGGTGGAAACAAGTTTCATACAATAATTAATTTAATATCAGCGAACATATCCTGCTTTTAAATGAATGCTTCAAAGAGATTATGTTAAAAAAGCGTGATTTTAACCGTTTTTTTATAGTCTTCAAGTATTCTATCACTAAGAATAAAATATATCTAGTTATAAAACATAAAGAATTTCTTTACCATTTTATAGAAACGCTGATAATTAGATAACAAGACCAAAAACAACAAAAAACCTGAGTATTTTTCTAAACGAATTAGCAATTTCTAAATAAATATTCAAG